AAATCCAATTTCATAAAATCAATCTTCCCTTACACTTCCTTCTGGCAAAACTACTCTTTTATTGGGTTCCTTTTCAGATATGTGAGATCACTATGTTAAGGAAGGGAATGCTAAAGGTCTGCTTTTAACTACATACGCATCTATTCGCTTTAGTGAAAAAGAAAACCTAGCCACAGACTGACTCCTCCAGAAGAGTTACCTAAAGATCCAGGAAGTAACACCCTTCCTGCTTGCTTTTGCATTTCATTAGGATTTCATTGAAGCATAGTACATGCCAGATCCTGGTAGGAACTATACTTCTTGAAATCAAGAAATATATCAGAAAAAATATGAATACGAAAACATGAAAAATATCAATGCGAAAAGCATTCTGGTACGATGCTTTTAGATCTTTCAGTTTTGACACTGCCCTTTTTTTGCGCCGCCTGTAAGTTTGATATTTCTGTAGCACTACGGGACTTGAGTTAAGAGTCAGTCTTGCAGTGGCCTTCATTTCACTTTAAGTATCAGAGTCCCCAGGGAGGAGCATGGCTGGAGGAGATTTTTAAAATGAAGAAACCTATCCTCAGATACGACTTAGAGCTTTGCAACCGAAACAATGGTCTCATTCCAAGAAGACAGGAAGGCCGAACCCAACCGTAGCTGAAACAGTGATCTCAAGCAACAGGACTATGTACAAAATAAGATTCTAGGTTTCTTCCACCTGCCAGTGGGGGGGAGAGGTCCTAAGTGTCCTGCTGCAGGATGTCTAGTGAAGTTAAAGGCATCACAGCAGCAAAACCCAGTACTAACAGCAAGGGGAGGCCCAGCCCATATTTTACTGAATTGTATTGCCAATTACAGCTGCTTCAGGCTCATGTGAAAAACACCCCAGAAACTAGCTTCACACAGAAAAGATTCACTCAGCAAGTAAAGCCTCCTCCACCTCCTCCCTTTTGCCATTCTTTGCTTTTTCCTTCGAGCCTTGTGAGCGCCCTCTTTGCTACCCACTTAGGATTGGGCTTTACTCTTGCGTACCCTACTATGTACAGAGGAGGTTCTTTCAGTCAGGTTTCCCAGGCTGAAGCTGCGATCTGGATTAAGAGGAGTTTCAGGCACAGAACGGTTTCTCCTGCGCTGATCCAAGTGCACCTGGTGAAGAGAGTGTTAACTTACTGTTGGTAAATAAACAAGCAGCAACTTGTGCAGGAGTTTTCATGTGCCGCTTGTTTGTATTTAGGATGTTTTTCCTCCTGGCTTTTTTATGTGAATCATGCTATTAATTCACTTGCTGAGCCTGTCAACAGCCCATATTATCTCATATGAAATAGTTACGCAAGTATCTGTATTAATTTAGCTAGCCTGAGGGGGACAGGAGCCACTTTCTCCTCTGTTGTCTTTACCGTGACTGGCATAGTGATGACATATACTTCCTTACTGGCGCTGTAACTAGCTTCATTTCATACTTGGTAATCACACTAAAAGCTGTTCATGTTTTGGTACTGTAGTATGCTTTCATTGCGAATGCCAACAGCAGCCTAGTGGTCCAAAACTTTTTGGTCATTTTCTTTATTCCCTGATTGCCCATTATTACTTGATTTGTGTTATTCTCCTAAAGAGCTGATACGAGGAAAATAGGGTATCATAATGGGCAAAGAAACAGGACTATGGTAGCATTAAGACAGCAACGTTATTAAACACAGCTGTAACTATGGTAGGGTGGTACAAGGTAAATCTTGCACCGTGCTCCAAACCAACTGGCTCTTCTTAACCTTTTTATCCAAATTATTTAACATTGTATGATCCACAGGAATAGTACAATACTGTTTGGCTTTCTAATACTACCCATAAATAACTATTCCTTCCTACCTACCTGCTGGGTGAGGGAGGAAGAATCATGGATTACATTTTAATTTTATGCAGTTGTACCTGCTGAGCTGTTTCTATGCCATTCAAAATCTCACAAAGTCCTAGAAGAGGAACCATCGTGCTCTATCAAAGCCAGAAGTATTTGATGCAGCTTCTCCATTCTTATCAGCATCTCCAGCTACTGTTTTGCAATTGCAGTGCAGGGTTTAGGGGCATCAGTTTCCGTATTTCCATGTTTGGGCTCCTTTTATTAAAGCTGTCAGTGTTTCTGGGATACTTTGATTTGTCCTACATCAAGTTCTACACAGCCTGATTCCCAATACCTAGTAAAAGGTCTGTACACCACATAGCACCTCTGCTTCCACTTAATGTGTAATATAATAAATTCTCTCTTTTCTACAAAGCTCAAGTCATAAGAAATGTCAGAGAAGCCTAAATCACCTTTTGCTTCGGTGAAGCTCTGTCTTGCTTGGTCAAAGTTAAATTAAAGGATATGTAATGGGTAGACCTTAAAAATCCTTATTCTCTTCAGTGTTGTCTTTGAACTCTTTGTCATTTGTTAATATAATGCTTGGATGAACCTTCAGGACAATAGCAGAGTGAGTATCAGCACTCACAGCTGATATTCAGCAAAACACACTATATAAAAAAGAAAAGCTAAATGAATATAATATCTAACAACTTAGCCTTAAAATACTGACCAAATAGAATTGCCCCGAGAAACTGACCCTAAGGTAAAGGTTCTGGAAAACGTCCTTATCCTTCACTTTTCCACAGTTCTGGTTGTCATTCTAAGTCTAACCCGCACCTACCTACTGTGCAACCTTAAAAGAAAAAATTCGTAACGAATTTGAGCGATTAGTCAAGGATTATTTTATTATCTACAAATACACAACCTGTGAAGCACAGGAAACCTTTAGTACTTCTTCACGCACAGCTAGTTCAAGTCAAAAGCCCTACTCTCCACTTGTTAGGTACTATGCCTGAGTGACACCACTGAGGTGTGGGAGGTAGCACATTGGCTTTATATGACAGCAATTTCTTCCTAAAAAGCTCTGCTTCATCAGTCAATTGGTCACATACAGAAGCTAGCACTATATAAATAATCTTATAATTCCTAAAGGGTGCAAAAGTGCTATTATTGGAATCGGGTTGGAAAAGTGCTCCCTCCCCTCCAGCAAATCTGCAGTTTCTCAGCTCTGAAATACTTCCCTCTCATCAAACGTGCACTCCTGACCGACTTTCTCTTCATTTGCACACATGCCTACGCATTCTCACCCACCCTCCAGCCCAGTAATTTCATAAGCCTCCTTTTTATGGTTTTAAGAACAAAAAAAAGCAAACAATACAGGAAGAAACAAAAATTTTAGTGCTGCAATTCCCCTCACTCAAAATAGGTGATTCTTGTCTGTAATTATTGATATTTTTGTACTAAAAAGTTTTCTGCCAATTCATCAATCCATTGCAATATAGTCTGAATCCTTGTTCTGCACTTTTCTCATACTTTATGACTAGTCCTTCACCTTACACCATAGCCCAGCTACAACAGAAAAGGCCTGGGAAGGTTAATCAATGCCAATATTGCTGCAAGCACCGAAACCACCACATGCGTGGTTTGAAGCCTACCTACTCTTTGGATTTCAGGAGCATGAAGAGTAGATCATCAGGAAAAAAAGTGAGCACTTAACAAGACAGGCAGTCTAGCTCACACACCTTTTAATCACATGGAAGTTTTTTCAGGCGTTCTCAATAATGCAGAAAGCAAGATATATTTATCTTCAAGATTCTGTTAATATCTGTACCTATGACAGATAATACTGTAAGCTCAAAATCTAACAGATCTCCCCCTCCCCCCCCCCAAAAAAAAAAGTATAACAAATGATTTTTCTCTTAATTTTTCTCTTAAGTGGAGAGAGCATTAGAGGATGTCCATTTTCTCTGTTAGGTAGATAACTACAGTAATAAATGCTCAATTATCCAACCCTGATAAAGCATTTAAGGTCTTTCAGAAGGCTTCTGGACAATTCAGGTTTGCCCTGTTTTTCCTGGCTTACCTGACTCCAGCAGTCAGAGTACAGGTTTCAGATTTGATTGTGCTGAGATTTAACTCTTCCATCTTTTCTGGAAGCACTACCATCAATCACTTACATTTAGATGAGTACCATTTCTCTCCTCCTCCAGCTTCAAACATGCAGTTTCTCCAAGCTTCAGCACAAGGGTCATCCTTAGCTTAGTTTGCCCTGCAAGTTTATGTCATGGTTGAAGTTGGTTCCCACTTACATATATATGTATGTACGTATGTATAAGAAAAAATCACAGCTCAAACTCATGATCCCTTTGGGGGTGTGGGAATCGCAAAAGATTTCAGGAGAAATCTTGAACAGGCATGGTTCCAATCATCCCAAACAAGCAGGGAACAGCTAATAACCTTTAGTAGTTCACATGAGCTCAGCTCTACTGAAGTGGAGGTATGAATCTGAAGAAAGCATTTCAGCAGTACTTAAGCCTTTCCTCATTGCTCCACTCTCAAAAGCATGTCAAGTACACCCAAATTTTAGAACTTAGGGAGTAGTGCCTTCATAGTAACATAAGAAATTCTCTTATCACAGAGAAGTCATTTCAAGGTTATTAGGATTAACAAAGACTGACTACAGATACGCACTGCTCTTCTGTTTTAAACAGTTATACAAGGAGCTCCTGTTATTCATCAGTCTGTATTTCCCTCCACGGGGCTTTTGGTAACAACATTTGATGGTTGATATTGATCAGTCCAATGAAAGTGATCAGATGGCAATCCTTAAATTTACAAACTTCATTCCCCAACTGGATGACATTTTTAAGGAGAAACAGAGTATCTCCCAAGCATAACCAACTGCAGCAATCCAAATAACACTAATATTACTGTATATCCAATTAGTGATCCGGGGAGAAAGAGGGTGGAAAGGTAGGTGGAAGAGGAGCTACTACTATGAATTTCTCTGCATTAGTAGTTACAGAAGTCCAATGTGATAACAACAAGATCTCTCGCAAAAAAAAAAAAAAAAACTTGAAATGGCTTTATTTTAAGTATATTAGCACAATATTTACAAAATTATGTTTCATAAATAAAAACATTTTCTTGGGTAAAGGCTATAGATATTTAAAATGTCCCAGAATGAGAATTTTTTTATATATACACATACATATACACACATACATACACATACGTACACATACATACAAAAATGGAATCATACAGTTATGAACAACTTTGGTTTTAAATTACTAGTGGGAAAGGGCTGGGTAAATATATGACTTTTAAACTCACATTTTAAAATTTGTACATACAAGAAATTCCTTAACACAACAGCATGGGGGGGTTTCTCCAATTTCTGGAATAATTTCTTCTTCAGTCTGTACAGGGACACTGAGTACTAAATTTTTCAACAATGTCCTAGTAACGGCTTGACCCCATCACCACAGTGATACAAAACAGATTCTACTGCAATTTGCTTTACAGTAGTTAATATAAAGCTATTAAACATCATGGTTTTATAAGGCAGAATATCTCAACAGAATTCCAGGGTTTTTCCGTGCCGCAGCTGCTCGACTTTCAACTTACCAGGGCAATCAGTAATTACAAATGAGGAGCTCCGCACGCTTCTTATAAGGTAAATTCTCATGCTGTAATCTATTAATGGAGAGTAAAGTCTCCCATCTTCAGGTGGACTGCAATAATTATGGAACAATCTATACCAAAAGATTTGTATATAGGATCTCAAAACTTACACGAAATCTCTCACTGACCAACTCTGAGGAGTCAATGTAAACCATATTCCCTTCTTAAATGTTTAAATCATGCATATAACCCTCTTCGCAGTGGATAATTTGACTCATTTTAGTAAGGGCTGGACTGTAGGTTGCTTTAGTGGTTCAGTCCTGCAGCCCTAGTGGGAGTAAATACTATAAAATCAGATGCCTCAATTGAATTTTGTTGAATTACTGATGCACGGTGTCTGCATCAAGACTACAGCCTGCATGGGGACCTCCACAACATGCTCCCACAGCGTGAATATGAATCTTAAGTTTGTATAGCCCAACTCTGAGACTTGCTCCACTGCTCAGAAAAACATGCATGCTCTTTAAAAACATGCATTATACTACTGCTGGGCAACAGCTTTCGAAACAAAGTTTTAAACTGTTAGAAGGAGAAAAACATTTGTGCCTTTGAAAATCTTATCCTAGTACCAATGGATACAATGTGTATAAAAGGTATAAATAAAGCCCAAGAGAAACCAACTATACTTCGGGAAAACAACTCTAAAAAGGTTGTAAAACATGGTAAAGCTTCCTGGAATGAGTAAATCCTCTAGAATCGATCCTACATGGATTTTCATCTATACTACCTACATGTTTAAGAAAACCGAGCCTCCCTACTTTTCACCAGCTGCTCCTGCTTATTCTTTATTTTCTTCATTTGTGACATAATGATAGCATCACAAATGTGGGTCAGAAATAATTTAGCCCCTATTTCCATTCAAGAGAACAGATTTAAAAACTCTGTTAAAAATTAAGCTAAACAGGATAATTCTTTTCTGAAGCATCAGTGTATTTTACAAATCCACTCAGTCAAGAAAGCCTGAATTTGGTTCCAGTACCACACACTTTACAATACGAACAAACATAAGAATCATAACTCAGCATGAAAATTACTACGTGCTATATGCTCTGTAACTCCAGTGCAGAATTTGGCTCTAACAACTGAGCAGGAATTCATCAAAGAATACAAAAAGAGGCACCGAGAGCTCTCTCACTGGACTACAGTACTGGCCGCTAGAGCATACATGACCACTGTCTAAAGAGAGGAATTTTGTGGAATTAGGATAACTCAGGTAAACACCTAAGACGACCTGGGAGTAAACTCCGTATTTACTTAATTCACGTATAAGCAATTTTTTTCCCCTGTATGTTCTGAATATCGGAAAAGAAATATTTGTACAAACCCTACTTCCTGCTCTTATCACAGACATATGACCGCACCTTGCCCATGCACACAAATAAAGAAAACAATCTAAATGGTATTGCAATCTTTGGGCTGAGCAGGCGCATTATCAAAGCGGTGACTGATGACGGTTTTGAAAAGAATACCACTGAGGATACTACAGGAAGACCCTGTGGTGGGTAAACAGTGCTTTCTATATTCTCACCCTCAACCACATCATATATACCATAATAAAAGAAAATAAAGATTACATGTGAGTAGACACACATGTTCCTCGCTACAGCTGTTGTGACTACAAAATTACATCATTTATATCAAAAGCACTTTTGCCACACATGCAAAACAGCTAGTTTCCTGAATTTCTTCTCTTTGAGTAGTGCATCTTCAAGGCCACGGTGTATAAACAACGGTGAATTTCTTTCCACACATCACCCATCTCTACAGCAGATTCAGTTCTTCTCTTTAGTTACGCTAGAAATTAATAAAGAAATGATTATTCAGGGAGAGTTTTAACAAGGAACATTTTGTGCCACCTATCCAAATTATAGCTTAAGAAAGCTCTGCTTCTTTATTTTCTTTCAACTTTTGGAAACAAGCTTAGCATCCAAACAACACAGAAGAGTGGTACTAACAGGCAACCAGTGTTTCAGCTTCTCCACAACAGACAGGGGAACACTATGTTTTGGAGCTCTAACTCATGAATGGGAAAAAGTACAGTGGCTCCTTACCTTAGCTGTCTGCCCTGTCCTGCCCTTACTCCTAATGCTGGTTTCTTAAACATGCCGTATTGTAAGCTAATGTGCTTAAGCAGGTGAACTATCCCTGCAGAGTGTCAGTGAGTTTTCAAGGGAAGCTTAGGGTAGGAAAGCAGGCACCGCTTAAAAGATTCCTGCTGCCAGCTTCTGAATCAGAAGCTTTGATTTGTAAAATCTGATATTTTGAGGAGCCATCTCTCAAGGCAGAAAAAGCAGTCGGGCATCTAACCCTATCCTAAAAAAGGCAAGAGGAATGTTCTTCAGTGGAGATGGGCTTTTAAAAGCCTGAGTGAGATCCAAGAAGAAGCAGGCAACTTATTAAAATTGCATCTCCAAGCATAATTCCATCTTGTTTTTCAGCAGTGAATGGGGACTGTACTGATCGCACCCTTATCTAACTTCTTCTAAATTTTGCAAAAGAACACAATGGACCCGGAAGTATTTACTTGTTTCCTGGTATCAAAGCACTGCTAAGGAGAATAAGGAATATTCACTTCTGAAGCAAGAACTATCTTTTACTTTTCTTGTCTACTTCAAAACATACTAACTGGTGTACAATTTTAATCAACGTATCTAGCAGATATTGATGCAGTTGTGCTCTGTTGTCCTCAAAAAAATACACACGATCCCATTGGTTTAGAAAACAATCCTATGGCATATTTGGATCAATCATATAACAGTAGTTACAAGCAACATACATCTAGCAGTACATAGTATTTGTACGGAAGCCTGTTTAATTTAAATCAACTGACTTATCTTATTTCAATTAGGGCTAACAAGTATCTCATTTACTGTCACCTTGTCAATTCACCCTTTCAGGAAGTGACATAATATACATTTTTTTCAAATAAATTACCAGGGTTAGTGTGGCCTTACTCTTAATCCTGGCTAGCAAAATGTTATATTTTGATGCGAGAGTACTAGGCTAAAGGTTTAGTGATACCTTGAGGTAAGCTTGCTCAGTTTCCAAATAGAAATCAAAGTACCAATAGCATCAACAAGTGCTCCTTTATCCTACCCCCATAAAAGGAAGTATAGCTTATGAACAGGAAAGCATGAATAGGAGACTATTTTCATTTTCAAACCTGAGCATCTAAATTTAAGCTCTTAAATGAGAATGCTCTGATGTTTAAAAATACCAGGCAAACTCAGGTACCCTACTGATGGTTACGAGCTGCAAGAACTGAGCATCTTTGAGTACTTGGCTATCTATTTTAGGTACTGATTTGAGAATTTCAAGTTCATACAGTTCCTCTCATTTCATGGCTTATTGTAAATTTAAAAGACTCTGTTTACACATAATCTGTGTTGCCATTTTACAGGACATTTAAAAATTGAAAAGGAGGATCCCAGCACTGAAGATATTTCAAATCAGAAAAAAATCTTAAATTAGGCCAGGACACTACGGAACTTTAAACACCAAGCATAACCAATGAGCAGAAAACGCACTGCACCTTTAAATCTTAATAGCCAATGCTTTTTTTGTCAAATATACGTTCAAGTTGTTTAAGCAGTACTTACATTGTTTTGAGAAAGATGTGGTTCAGTTTTGTTTTGTTTTTTTAAAAATCACTACCATCTGACACTGAAAACAAGTAAATCTGACTTCTTTAGGAACAATTTAACAAAAAACAGGGATTTTAAGGAACATCTGAAGTGCAGGGAAGAGAGAATCCACTTTTAAAACACTTCTGTGCGGCATTTGATCAGAGATCACCAATTAAATAGGTAGAGAAGGTTTGATTTAAAAAAAAAACACAACAAAACAACAAAAACAACACCCTCCCCACACACAAACACACATCACCCAGGAAAATATTCCATACATCTTACATACAATATAAACACAAAGAAGAACTCATACAAAATATGTGACATTTCACATTTGATTTAAAAACAACAACAAAAACATACAACTACGTAGCAGTTCTCTCTCACTGACACATTCTCATCACTGCTTAGAAATACATATTCCCCCTCTATGCACGATACAGGAAATATTTATTCTTTCTATTCAGTGACATATAATTTGACTTAGAACAGTATCCACACTGTAATCCAAATGTCATCCTATTAGCACCAGGTAACTTTAAACATCAAAATCCCCCAAATATACACTAGTTAAAATAAACACTTGGAGATGTATTTTGACTCACCATCGTTCTAACATCACTCCTTTCGCATCTTTAAAAGCCAAGTAAATGGATTAGTAATTAGCCAAACAGTAAAAAAAATGTTTTATAGTTAATATTCACAGTAATTCTAAAATACAGGTTAGAACTTGCCACTACTTCTCAGTATGCCAATTAGTGAACAGCATATTTAAAAAAAACACCGACAACAAAAAAGTATTTCAGGGCCACCCCTCTGTCACTGTAAATTTTCCTGACTTAAGCACTATCAAAATTTCCCAACATCACAGTAGAGTTTTCCCAATCCAAAGAAATATCTAAAGAATACAGTGACATCGATAGATTTTGCTATAGTCACAAGAATTTCACTGAAATAAATGATCGTGAAAAAGAATTAGCACAAGCTATAAAGAGCTGTCCCTCTTTTCCGCTTAAAAGTTGATCTCTGTTTGCAAAGCGAATAGGGTGCCTGTAACATCATAAGATACTATATTTGTCCTAAAGCAGACAAGCAATGCCACTGGCTAACAGGCACACTTGTACAGTAGTGCAGAACAGGGGTCTTCATGCCAGGAGTTGTAGGCATAATTTCACTGAGAAGTCAAATTCTTACTAACTCACTCACAGAGCCACGTTATTTGACATACCAATCTGCCATCTCAGTGCTCTTGTAGTGAGAACTACTTTTTGATCTATTTCCAAAATTAATCCCTTAATTAGAAGATAAATTTTGAATATCACCTACCATTTAATGGTTCTTCTACAGGTTTCTGCAAAACATTTAAAAATATATATATATATATGTATAAAACGCCTTCGTGTTTATTTTTGGCTCGCCACAGTTAAATTACTCTAATTGACATATACAGTAAGTAGTGATTCTACAAAAATGAAAAAAGCTAAAAGTTAATAAAATTGATCACTAAAGTCCTGAAAAGTCAATCAGTAACTGCACTCTCCAGGTTATTTTTCCCCACTATGTCTCAATTTTTCCCAGATACAATACCTCTAGGTGGCAGCAAAAGGCATGCAGATACTACTTTTAAGAACTAGTACCGTAACAGATTATTTCTGCAACCTGGTAAGTTGTTAGGAATAAAATAGCATGACTAAAAAAACCAAACCAAACCAAACCAAAAATCTGTTATCTCCTCAGAAGGAGATGTACCAAGTAGTTGTGCGTTTAGTCTGGTAGGCAATCATCAGAACACAAGCAAACTGCAGATGTGTTAAGAATTTAATAGGTAATTGATTAACAGATTTCAAAATACGCACCTTTTCCCCCTCAGCCTCAAAAAAGTAACAAGTCATAATTTAAATGTGCCCCAGTGCCAAAATGAAGTACAGTCCACTGACAGCAAGTTTTCCTTAGTCTTTAGATTACACAGAATAAAAATGTATTTTCAAAAGTACTTCACATCTCTCTATCACCTCGAAGTACAGCAGTATATGCTAAATAGTCTTTGATGGAAACAACCAGCATATTAGGAGACTTAACTTTCCACCAGATCTTTCCATGACTTCCTTTCTATATCCTCCCACAAGTTCATGGGCACAAATTATTGTCACCTGAACGCTTTGCATTTGACCCTCAAATAACTGCAGCTGCAAAAATGCACAGATTTTTAGAGGCTGAACTTCCCAGTAGCCTCCAAGTTTTAAAATTTCTTTAGATTTCATTTTCTTCTCCAATTCATGCACTACCATGGTGTTTAGTGCTACTTACTAAATTGCAACCACTTGTTTATTTCTCAAATCTTTGCTGCACTGTAAAACCTGCTCATGCAGAGAATAGCTCAAAGAGAAAGGAGTTCCACAAAAGTTTAGCATGTTGGTTCACATTTCAAGGCTTTCTTCTTCTAAAATAGGAAGAAAAGATCTCTCCTTGCCTGTTTTTCTTCCGTTCTACAAGTAAACATGAATATGCTACTTAAAGGCAGTATTGCATTTTGAAAGTGTTTCTGTAATACACTTCTCAGCCCATTTCTATAATGGAATGGACTTTGTGCACCTCCTCTTCTTTTTTTTTTTTTCCTCCTTTTTAAGCTTCAGCCCTTACTTAACACTTTCTTCCCCTAAGTAGGGCCAATTCCCTGAAATATTACTCCTTAAAACGAAAATGGATGAGAAAAAGCAGAAGAAAAATCTCTTAGCTGTGGTCAGCTCTCCTGTCCCACTGTTAGAAATCATCTTTCTACAGTTGTGGACTGCAGAGGAGACAGAGGGATAAATCTGTTTCAAATGATGTCTGGCAGCCACGAAACGGGATGACTTAGCATTTCTCCTGCTTCCTGGATACAAGGAAGTTTTACTGATTTCCTATAGCCTTTTAACTTGCTTCTGCAAAACTCCAGAAAACAGGCTGTTCACATTTGGGGACTGCTAGAAAATACAGTGTAAGTCTTTGAAAATGACTGTTTGAGGAATTATTACTCTAGAATCAAAAAACCTGACTGAAAAATTGTCTTTTAAAAAAACCCAAGTACTTTTCATTTATTCTGTGCGACCTAAAGACAGACACTCTGCTTTCAGATGGTCTCATCAATATTAAGGGACACTATGGGCGGGGAGGAAGGGAATGGATAATGAAGGCAACAGTATTTGCATAGTTGGGAATTCAAGAGAACATCAAAGAATTCTGGAGTAAAAAAACTTTATAAAAAACTAAGTTTTAGTCTTTATATAGCTCACCTATATTAAAAAAAAAAAAAAACCAAACAGTAATCTGCATTCGCCTTAACAAAAAAAAGACATTAACCAAAAGTGTTTACAAACTCATGTGAAAAGAGTGCATAGTAAAAAACATCAAAATTTCCTTCACACCCACTACCTTTTTGAGACAGCCCTCGAAACTCCATTTGGGCACAACAGTTGGAGTAGCTCTTAGGTATGCCAGCTGCTAGGGTGGCAATTACAGTACTATCGACACACTCAGTAGGGACAGTGAAGACCACCAACTCACTCAACATGAGACACTTGTTACACAGCCAGAACTTTTGCTTGCTACCAACCTGGTCTGAATTCGAACTAGTGAAGAAAGGCTCAGTATCTCACTACAATCCCCTGAGCCATCTAGTCACCCCAAATTTATTAATTTTAAGCTTACCCTTGGAGTATGATGATCTCTTATGCTGGAACCTAAAATAATTACCAAGAGAAAATTAAGAAGCGAGCAGAAAGATGAATAAATTTCACGACCAATGGAATTTAAGTATCTACCAATAAAACTTGGAACACAGTAATAACACACAAAACTGCAGCTTTCCTTACCCAAAACTACTTAATATGACCTGTAAATTCTAACAGTCTAACAGCATTCTTCTGTTTAGGACCTGAATATTCTTATAATGTGCAATCTGTGAATTAACACAGTTAAGGCATTTAACTCCATAAATGAATTCTGCTGCACTCGGTTCTATGCTTGTTTGGTGTTTTGGAATCTACCCATTATAGTCATGGTCAACCTCTTCAGGCAGCATAACCAAAATACAACTGCAAGATTTATGCAGACTGTTACTACATAGTTTCAAAGAAGTGTAAACAAGTAGCTCAAAGTCCATAAAAATTATTTGTATCCTCGTTAAAAGGCTAGCTTCACCTCTGCTGCATTTTTGATGGGTTTCCATCCATCTCATATTGAGCCTTCTGCCTTAATTTCTTCTTTAATGGAATTCCCATACCCGCACAGGGATTGCACATGCTAAACCTGGAAGACTGCATACGCCAATGTAGACAACCCTGAGCTCACTGTACATAAGTCAGTGTGAGTCCAGAAGCAATGTATCATCTTCAATCCTATGGTTCTGTATCCAAAGTAACACGCTGACTGAAGAGCCTTCAAACACAGCTCAAAGCAAATAAAGCTACCCCACTCTCAGACCCAAACTATAAAGTCCACATAGCATTACAATGCGGTACGTCAGCCTAGAGACATGCTTTTTGCCTACTTAGCAGGCCTGACTGCCTTTTATCCTTTAAGCCTTTCCTCTCTCTGAGATCAGCTGTATACACAGGTTTCTGAAACAAAGTATTGCTATTCTTTCCTCCTACTTTTAATAAAGGGAGATTTGAACATAGTCCTTTCATTTTATCAAATCCTAGTTTTCTTACACTTAATTTTAAAAGTTCCATATAACCAGTGGAAATCATTAGGCAGATTTTACTTCTTTCAACTCATATTCTGAGCGTATCTGCAATAAGCTTTTGTTTGCATCGTCCCACAAACCCCTCTATAGAATCCTTGAATTCCTTTTGCTCTTTCAGTTCCTTGCCTCAGCTAGGCAACTGTGCAACTCCACAGCTTAGAAGCAGCAACTTTTAAAGAGCTTAAACACTCTTAAGAAACTTGTCTGTGTTGACCTCAAGACAGATCATTATGATGAGCTGTATTCAGAATTCTGCACTCAGATTCCCCACAGTCTCCGTGAAACAAAGCCAATACATACACACAGTTAACTTTTCAGTAATTTTTTTTTTTTTTACACTATGTAATTGTGAGATCACACCTTATGTTTAAATAAGATATGTGTACCTCCAGAAAGCACAGTACAGAAAATTGTTCCTCTGGATATTTCATTAAAGTGTTAAAAAATTAATGTAGAGTATTGTGTGTTACTTACCCACAATACACACATAAACCAGACTAAGCAAAGCTCCAATAGCCATAATAGCTAAGCCAGCGATCACAACAGACCCATGTAACACAGGACAGGCTGTTAAAAACAAGATATAAAGAAATATCATCTGACACAAGTTAAAGCACACATATTTATTTTCAGATAGAACTGAACACTGACATAAGTAAGCCTGATAAAAACAGAAGTGATCTGATTTATCTTTCAGAGCTATCCCAGAACTATTTCTGCATACGTTCTTTAATTATACAAAGGCTTTTACTGATTTATCCTGGTAACAGTTGAGCTGTAATACTCTACTGTCATTCACTGCAATTGAAGACATCATTTCATTATTTAATTTTTAAATTTAAGCTTACTTCTTCAATCTCAATTTTTAAAACTATAATGGTATTAGGTTACAGAACACAATACTGTTATTGATAAAACAGTGAAAAAATGGATATAAAAAAGGGAAGAAGGGAGAAGAATATGAGGAAAGACCCGAAGCAAATCTGCCAAAGATAATAGGAATGCTCCAAGTTCACAATGACATCCCAGAGCAGAAATTGGCTACTACAACCCAGCCAGATCCCATTCCAGAAACTCCTTGTTCTCTGATCTTTCTTACGATCCAAGTTTCCTGGGACGTGGAATCCCTGCAACCACTTGCGAGCTCATCAGGAGAAGGAAAGGAGAGGACAAGGGAAAGGGCAAAAGGGAGAAACACAGCTATGTGCTGTGTTTAGTTGGTGTTCCTTTTCAACAGGGATTGTTTTTCAAGGCTGAAACAAAATGCCAGCCACTACTGGACTTCAACAGTTCAAGATTCCTTCCTAATTTACTGTTTGTGCATTTGCCTTCTTACATTGTTTAAATGATGATATGCATTCCCCAGCAACTCAGTTATCACCCATGTATAAATAGAGATTAACATGAGATTTATCCATCTGAACATTCATTAGAAACTGATTACGGCTCTATTTGTTGTTGTTGTTGTTTTTCAATACTGTAGGCTACTGTAAGAATAATGTAGCAATAAAGGTCGATACTAGTTTGAGGTGACTCTATTTTGCAATACTGAGCCCACTAAAGAAATGTATGAGGTGGTTTTCTTTGTTCGTTTTTTTGTTTGTTTGATTTCAAAGGCATCTGCTCATAGGATGCAGTCACGCTAGACACAGCCATACTAATGAAACTGGTGTAATAATGCCTTTGGGCTATTCCTCCTTCACCAGACAAAAGAGCATTAACACAGCAGTCCGAAAACATAGTAATAACAGTTCTACTGCTAAAACACAAATGTAGTGAAATCATTCTCGCAGCGTTCAGGTGTTGATAACATTCCCATCAGGTGCAGACAAAGGTAAAAACAAACTTTTACAGAAGATAAACTTCCTACCTGAGACACACAGTGCAAAACCAGTCACAGCAGTTATATAGCCGAGAGATTCCAAACCTATCAGAGCATATGCTGTTTTTGACAGACTATTCAAAGCTGGAAAAAGGAGAGAGAAAGAAAATTGTAACTTTTAAAGATTAACTCTAGGGAAATGAAAGCTAGATCATTCACACATAGCTAGGAATCCGGTTCTCCTGAACTCCAGACTCAGCCAAGAAGTATGTTTACAAAACAAGCTAAGCAAGTCACTTTTTTCCCTTGAAGTGTTATATGAAAACCATTAGCATAAAAAAAGAAAAAATTTTTTTGAAAGTTAATTATTCATCCCAGTTCCAAGACCCAGAAAGGAGGAGTAGGAAACACCTAGACACTCTACACTAAATCCCATTTTCCAAGTAGATAGCTAATACTTCTTCCCTGCAACACCTGAGCCAAACAAAATCAGGATAAACATGTTGTTTTGAGATAGTAGGAAGGTAAGAAACCCAGCAAGTTATTGCAGCACCTAATTATGAAAGAGGAAAATATCATGTAGGTTATGTGAATTGGGGGAGGGAGCCCTCAGTGCATCTATCAGTATATTTTTGAGCTAGTAAATCAGTGAATGCTCACCCATTCCAAATAGAAGATATTGAAGTGGCATTAAAATCACAGTAGGGACTACAATTAAACCAAGTCCAGCACGACTTCTTGAAGTATAGCCATCTGCAAACATTTGTATGTAAATTAGTAAAACAGAAAACCTTGGAGGGAATAAAGCACAAGCAACATAAGTAAATCATCAGTTTCAACAAACTTTTAGGGTCCTCAAAAAATCCCACTTCAGCTCTAGAAGTCACTCATTAGCCTCTGATATTCACCTGAGGCAGCAGGACAGAAAATAGAAGTCAATTTGTAGTCTCTATCTCCCTATGGCCATGGCCCTCAAGATGGCTTGAAGATCATAATGTTTTTATTTCATTCTATAATTTTATTCTATTTTAAAATTAGTAAGTGATAATAATTAACCTCTTAAACTAGGGCACAGGTTGATTTGTGCTCTTATTCCCATCAACTAGAAAGACAATTTTATCAAACTTACCTGCTACAAAAAGAATAACACCTGCAACAGCAACAACTGTGAGGATGATACATGCTATAATAATGCCGATTTTCTTCTGAGGTACAGTTTCAGCTTTTGATGCTTAAATACAAAATGAAGACAGAGAGAGGAAATTCATCAGACATTCAGATTCTCTCACAAGAACACACAGATCTTATGATTACAATTGCTGTCAAGAAATGAAATCCTAACAAAAAAAATCAGAAGATCTCATTTATTTTCATTGTTTGATATGGTTAGTATCATATCATATGGCTTACGCATATCAATGAAACCTGACACTGGTGCTTTAGTGTTAAGTTCTTAATCCTGCCTTCTATCAGTCCAGGCCAAATGCTTTCAAAATCACTTTGGGATATGATACAAGTTAATTCAGTCAGATGTGCTACTGATATTTAAATAGTGTTATAAAGAATTTGTTATTCATTTCAGTTCCCACAGGAACAGGGTGATGATCCCCTCTCATTGTGATGCTTTGAGGATGAGTACATTACAGACGATTTACATGTTCAGAAGTCATACACAGGACTAATTTGCAGTAAAATCGCACTGTTAAATAGTCGCCATCTCAAAAATGACCGATTCCAGCGGAGGGTTTCAAACCAGCAGCACTTTAGGGGCCTTTGGAATAGAAGACATATTACAGATGCATTGTAATCGCTAGCTGTGTTTGTTTCTGCCTTATGTATTTTTACAACTAAGTCAAAAAAGGCATAGCTTGTTCCAAGCTTGAAAACTCTGAAGAAAATCTCCAATAACCACGGTTTATGTTGAACTAAAATGTAAATTGGTAGTCACCAACAAGAGGTAACTTCAAAAAGAATAATGAGGACTTTTATTGAATTAACATCATACTTAAAATACATTGCATTAGCACGCATACACACACAAATTTAAAAAAAAAAAAAATCACATCACCAGAATGCACTAAATATTTTGGAGGGCATGCGCAAAAAAGCTTTAATACTACCCTATTGAAGGGTTACAAAATGACCTCTCTTTTAACTAAAACTTCATTTTCCATTGTATTCATATTGCCTAAAAAAATAGGACCCAAATTTAGTATGAGTTAGAGATAGCATGCCTACTTTTCCTCAGTGAAGTCAAAGACTGTGCAATAAAGTGCAAAGGCACAATAAAATCCAAGCAGACTCAACTTACTCCTATAAAACAATAGTGCTTTTCTATGACAATTATTACTATCTTATCAAATGCTGAAAATGTGCAAGTTCTGGATATTAATACAAGGCAATGATAATTCCTGAACAAGTTAGTCTTAAACCATTATAAACAATGAAAATCAGGAATCTAACATACAGAAACAAAAATATTAAAAAAAAAAAAAGATTTGTTTTCAACGTCTGACCACGAACCTTTGAAGAATCACAGAACACTTTTAGAGATTCGTAAAAAGATAATAAAAATATTACATTTAGATGGCTGAATATGTAACTGATTACTACAAAATGCTCTGAGTGTGATACTTCTTATATACACTAATGCTGTAAAAATAAAATGTTCAGAAGTTCACAAATTGAAAAAGGCTGAAAATCACCAATACAGACATAACATATGTCACTACAGGGAACAATCTGAAACCAGACTAGGATACAAAGCACTCTCACACATGAGGGATACTAGTACATGAGGAATGCCTAAGAACGTCCAATGCTGCTGAATGAATTGTTTCTAAAAATTTTTAATAAGATCACTGGTGTAAGTGTTAAATTATGACTAAACTAAGCTAGTGCGAAAAATCTAATGCGCTATTTTACTTTAAGAGAGCACCATCTTTCTCTAATATTGACTTTATGACCATAAAATGAAATATGTTTCCGTTTCCAGTATGATTCGATAATGTCATAGTGTGGCAACAGTAAAAAAACGTTTCCTTGTTCTAATCAATGACCACAGACATCATCAATTACACCCTGCAAAAATTATAATCTACAAACACACTCATGAAGAAGAGTTTATCATTTGCAACAGCACTGACAACAGAAACATCACTACATAGCAGATTGAGCTCTAAACACAGACCGTCTAGGTCATGTTTTGTATCTCACAGGAAGACATATAGTTGCTGAAAATCTTAACCCCACAAAGCAGTCCCTAGCCTCCAGCAAAGTAGAGCTGATTGATCCAGATTCCACTGCTCAGGGCTAGCCCCACCTACAAATTAGCGTCTGCATCCACACTGCACAAACTGCCTCAAAACACAGATCATATTGATGAGGTCATGTTTTTTTTCAGTTCAAAGGTCTCAAACTCTGCAAGTACTATTGTAACCTGCCAGACCAGCGTTTTTCTAACTTTGTGCCAAAAAAAAAAAGTAAAATACATGCCCTGAAAGAGACTGTGAAAGAGAGCAAAGCCTGCTGAAATGGAGTTGGAAAGCTACACAGGGCAGGAGTGTAGCTCAGTGTACTCTTACTGACAGTGCCTGTAAGAAACAGTGCTTACTACGAACTATCCTCAGAACTGTATTTGAGTTCAGCCTCTCGTGGTATTAGTTGATTCACTTCAAAAGAATGCCCATATGTGAACAACGTATATAATGCACTGTGGATCTTCAGGAGAGGATTCCACAGCAAATCAAAAGCCAAGTTATTTGACAGAACAGACACACCTCTTTGCATTATCCAGACCAATTCTACTGCACATCTTTCAAATGTAAGCAGCACCTTTCATTTTACATGGCTGCTTTGGTACAAGGGATTTTAGAGCAAAATCAACAGTTGTAAAGTATTAAAAGGTCAATACTTACCAATAACACTTAACTGAGCCCAACAAAAAACAATAGCTAAGAATAGCAACACTATGATGCAAGTACTTTCCACTGGAAGAAACCACGATCCTAGGGAATAAATAAAAAAAAAATGATACAAAGAATACAAAAACTGATGTTATTAGCTTTACATTTAGCGCTCCTTTTAGGCTATACTCTAGAATTTTCAATACTATATTTAATGGTTAGTCTGATAAAACTTCTAATGCTATAAAAGCTATGACTTCTACCTGTTGAATTTTTACTCTAATCTTGTGAATGGCAGCCTATTTCTTCAGCATTTCTAGTTACTGTAACATTTTCCTAACTGTAGATCTTAATCTCCGGAGCAGCAGAGGATGCGTCTAAGTTATTGTCTGGCAGTACAAGCTAGCGAGCTTCTGGAACTACGTATGGCCCAGCCGATTAGCAAAGCAGTGTATGCAGGCTTATCAGGGAAGGTGGCATGATCTGTGAAGTCCACTTTGGCGTTTCTTCAGTTATTTTATTTTGCCTCCAAATACTATACTACTACTAGAATATACTCAAACAAATCCAGATGTGTGATATAGAATACAGGAGCTAAGTGAGAGGAAAACACTGCTTTGTTAATTTTAGAAATCACACATTCTCCTTTATGTCTCCCCACCATCATCCACTTGGCTTTCTTTCCTTGCATCTCAGATGCCTTAGGCTGCCCAGTCACCCATGCTGTAGGATCATGCAAGCTGCCTTCCAGCATGCATGCAGTAATTCCTAAAATATCCCCACTGAACCAGAAAATACAGTTGATCCTTGCATCTCTGTTCATAACTTTCTTTATGTAGATTCATTCTCTGGAATTCACAGTCCACCTTTTCTTACAGTATACTTGCCACTGTTCTTCTGCCTCCACACTTACTTCTAAAGAAATTTCTCATCTTCTTTTTGAGGTATACTACTCATATATACCCTCTATACATAAAAACTGTATCTGCAGCTCCAGAAACATGGAATTAAGTAGCAATACCTCACAGCTTTCAGTGCCAAGTATGCTGAAGAGAGTTTGAAGTTCATGCATTCCATAGAAAGTAAGCTTCAGTAAAACCGAAATGAAGAATTTTGACTTTACCTAATGGGGTCAGCTCAATTGTCTATTGTTAGTAATAAAGACTATCAGTCAAGATTCATTTTTCTAAAAGGATGTTAATGCCTAGAAGGAAGGAAAGCATTACTTCATGACAAGAGGATACTTCTTCCTACACTTGTATCCCTCTTCCTTCCCCTGCCCCCAAATGAACACTACTACAAACTAAAGCTACATCACCATCACAACTTTTCCAGGTTACTCAGAACAAGGATGCTAAAGATTAGATGTAACTACAGGTGTGCTGTACTTGAGGCTCATTTTTTCCTTATACTATAAGAAGCCTTCTTCTCTTTACATGTGACATTTTCAAATTCTTGTTTACATCTGTCTTCCGGCTCAAGATCTGTCATTCACTTTTCTCGCCCAGCATCTATATCCAGATCTAACCCAATGAAGAAATTCTTATAATGTCAGTTTGGCATTTTATTGGAGTTTTATTCATCTGCTACAATTCAGCACAGGGTCAAACAACTGCTCCCATATATTAGTAGGGATGTAGCCACGGCAGCTGGAGCTCAACGCACATCCACTGTTAACTCCTGCACAGGTGCACAGGTTAGTCCCCAAACCAATCACAAACCCGGGACTGTGAGTTTGTGGCCCGTGTTTATTGCTACTCTTAAGCTGCACCCTTTTGTGATAAGAGGCTACAAAAATGTTTCTTTCTAAAAACATTTAGCATTACTCATGAGGACTATCGGCCACTTTAAGAAATAGGGTCTGTAGTTATAACGAGCCAGGGAAAAGTACATATAAATACAAATGTAGGAGATGGCAAGCTAAGCCTAGGAAGCGTGCCACTTCAGTCCGTGCTAGAACAAACTGTCAGAAAAACTGGTACTGGTAAAGGATTCCAAGAAATGAGCACTGCAGTCAACGCTTCATTTGTTTGACAGTTTTGAATTGATGGAAATGTGGATGCTGTGAAACATAATTATCACAATAGATGGGTTTTCTTTCCTCCAGGGTCATAGAAGAGATGCTGTGGTCACAACACAAATAAAAGGAAATCACAAAAGATACTAGAGGAGATACTAGAGTTCCTCATCACCGAAAGAAACCCAATTTAATAAATTGGTTTTCACCCGTATTTGCCAAAAAGCAGCTAGTATTGCATACTAACTTTAAAACACAGTTGTCTTTCTCTGGATAAGCTGACTCCTATAGGCAGATCCTAATGATGGTGCTTGATTTAACTGAGAATTATTCATGAATTGAAAGTATCTGCAAACTGAAAAGTAGCTTTGCTTCCTCTGTAGCATTTCTAGATAACATTATCGGGAATTCTGAACACAAAGAGCAGTCACAAAGCCTGCTATCTGCTAGGAGTTCAGCATTCAACATGGAACCTCCAGTTAAGGTGGTCCAGTCTCAGAATGTAAAAGCACTTTCTTTGTATATGGAAACACTTGCAATGTTCCCAGTACATGCAACCTGCATGTTCCAAGAGGAACAGCTGAACGCATTTTCCTGGTAACACATTGCCCTTGCTCTCGTGCTTCAGAGCAGTAAAGTAAACTCTTGGCCAAAAAAACTATGTTGTGAGCCAATAGAAGGAAACCAGCTCCAAATTAACTCTCCCGTTCCTAGTAAGATACTCGATCAGGAAAGATTGTGTCCAAAGGTGAGCACAGAAGTGTAAAAGTCAGGAGACATGGATATGATCCTTACTCTGCTACTGATTTCCTAGGTAAATCTAAAATGAGCTATAAAACAGTTAGCTCTTATAATATTACCTCTGCAAAAAGATCACTTGGAACATATTACTAGCAATAACATGAGTTGACTGCTCAGAAATGATAAGAGTAAAGACTGCTACAGGACTTCCATTATTCATTAACCCTTTTTAAAACTCTCTTGCTACACTTCCTTGAATTAACACAGTCTCCAGAATCTCTTTAGAACATTGGAGAACACACTGAAAAATTATGCAAAAAATTTTGAAGGAAGAACAAATGACTGTTTTACCTTTAGTTAAGCCCTCAAACATAAGATTAGATGTTACATTTCTAACATACGCTCTCAAATCTAACCTGATCTCAACTACTATAAATTTTTCACCAACCACATTTCTCCTCCGGTGCCGAGGTTCTTTCCTCGCTGCAACTGATAACAAGAAAATTAAATCAGAACAATTACATCAGTTTTTTGTTTTGCAGTCTTTACGCAGTCTTTCGAAGCTAGAGTTCTAAATACTGAGAAAGGTAAAAAGAAAAAACAAGAGTAGAACTCTACTCAGCACCATATAAAATGTTTTACTACTATAATTATTGACCTTTTGAAAAAAACACCTAAACACCCACTCTTCAATTAACCTTCATTAACAACAGCACAGTTTATTTGCAAGTGTGACTTGATTCTACTATCTCTTCAGGCCTTGCTTCCTCTTCTAGAGCTGAACACCGAATGACAAAAACATCATCCGAAAAGGTTGAGTAAAGCTTGAGAGGAAGCCTTAACAGAAGGAAGGAAACTGCCTGTTCTTTTTTCCGTTTTTTTTGGCAGCATTCTAAGAACAGTACTTTTGTAGTATCCTCACTCCTTCAGTGGCTGTATCCCTCTCAATCCACCTCAGGATCATGTTTGTTTTGCAGGGTGTATGGCTAACTCAATAATTAGAGCCAACTGTGAATTACAGGTATGTCTGCAGCAGCATACAAGCAACAATTTGTTTGATATTCTGAAATGTTTTAATGACAAACGATAGCAAAAACCTCCTGGGACAATTCTACAGTGCATAGGTGAGATTTCGTGTGCTAGGTACCTGTAACATATCCAGTGCTTCTGAGGAACTTTCCAGAAGCAAGAATCAAGTCTACTGCGCAGAACAGATAAACAGTACGCATGCACACATTCAGTAAAACTGTCGCTTCTGCAGAATGCTAGACAGACTGTACAGGTATAGCAGACCCTACCACTCAATAGGTAAGGCGCTGAAGCATATGGGCTGCCTCTGACAAGAAGACAAGGTAAAATGGCTTACTAAATGAGAAAACTCATCACTTAGTCACCATTATTATGGTTTAACACTGTCTGTCCAAAAAAGGCATTTAATGCTGGGCAACATTAACAAGTTACCACCTGGCAGTAGCGATTTCAACCTCACTGAAAAAAACATACTTTTAGATTAAATTTTAGAACTCTTGCACAAAATTTCTATCTGTAATTTTTCCAGCATAGCTAAAGAATGTAAGATGTAATTCTTTAAATAAAAAAGTCTCTGTAGCCACTGTGAAACAGCTTATGGATGTATACATCTCAGTATTATAAAGATATTAGGAGCATGTTTCAGTATGTAACATAATAACATGAGGGTGCTGAAAGTAGCACCAACTATATAACCTAAAAGATATGAGAAAGCATAATTTTGTATTAGACAAATGATCCTCAGATATTAGTATACAATCAATAAACGTGTTCAGCCCTTTCCTATAGAAGCACTCCCCTCTAACTTAATACAAAATAACTAAAATTAGCATTTAAGTCAGAAGACACTAAAGAACTGGATCCTTCATTCTTGGCAATTTCAATTCCAAGTAGTATATTGTCATATTCATTATTTCTCTTTCCCATAAGATCTTGCTTGTTTTCTTTCCCAGTAGGTTCTAAAACAGTGGTAGACAACTTACCTGTACCGCTCCTAAGCTCAACTGTAATTTCTCCTTCTCTGTTTGATTCTGTCACTTCACAACTGTAATTTCCAGCAACTGCTTCTTCCTTGTCAAGTAATACAGAGGCAACACCCTTGGGTAAATCCAATTCAGATACTAACTTAGCTGATGAAAACATGGGATCCTTGACAGTCTGCTGTGTTCCATCAAAAGAAAAAAATAATTTTCCTTGTTTTTTCCACTTAACATACATGACCTGCTTATTGTTCGCTTGTAGATTAGTCACAATGCAAGGTAAGAGGATACTTTTATTACAGATATTTCCTTCAACAAACACAGTTGGACTAAACAGCAACTGGGCAGAACCTAGAAAGAAAAATGAAAATTAACACATTCAGAATTGTTCCTTAATATACAAGACAAGAAAGAAACAGAAAAGAAAAAAAAAATTACAACACGTTGCTTGGGAAAACAAAACCAACTCCCCTGCAAAAGCCCCAAAACAGAACATCAGGCTTTGAAGGGGCAACAAAAAAGGTATTATTACAGTTCTGTCACAGCCCCTTTACACAGATTTATTCATTCTCACATCTAGATAACATACATATACTACCACCTACCATAAACAGAAAACAGTAGTAAAACTTTGTGCTGAAACTCAGTTGGACACTTCCCCTAAAATGCGTGCCATACGCAGAAAAACACTGCACTAAAGCCTAGTTTCTGCAAAACATAGACGTAACATTAAGCACAGGCAGTGTCACTGATGTTCAGATTTTTGCTACTGGTCATACAGTTATCTAGAAAAGGGGGTAGAGTGCTGTCAGTTCCAGACAAGCATCCCTTATAGTTTGTGAAGGACACAGGGAAAAAATTACTCTGCTGGAAATTCTACTTCTACACTTCCTAGAGAAGGCAGGTAAGACAGCTTAGTTACAAAATGGAGATTTGTCATTTGTTCCTTCTGAACTCTGAAGATGGAGCCAAATCCCCATAGCCGTAGCATATATTTCTTGCAAGTTCTCCTTTTCCTTTCTGATAAGGGAAGTGCACACATAATAATACAGGCTAAATAAGATTCTTGCTGATTTACTATTAGAGTATATAGACAATAGAATCGAAATGGAGAATTTGCAACAAGAAACATCCTGTATTAGAAACCACTGTGATTAATGCTACTAACTATACCATTCAATGAAAGTACTGAAAAAACATCACATAATATTATCACTTTGATTAGGACTGCTGGTTTTTACCCCCTTCTCTCCCATCTCGCACCTCTGTTCTAAAACAATATTACTGATCACTGTTTCAAGAAACTGCTAAAACCAATTCTGAGACTCTATCTAAAAGAAAGATCCATTCGTCAGTTCTCAAGAACACCAACAATTTTAACGTCAGTACTAGAATTAAACCAGGAACCTGAAGAAAGAAGGTAATTAAACTAACCTGATTGCAAAGTTTGAAGGATTTCAATTCTTTATTTTCTGTATTTTTCATCATTTGTGCAAAATCATAGTTTAGTCCCACCATTAATTATCCTAATAGCTATAGCTCCCAAAAGTCCCAGTGACTTTAATCATTCAAAGAGCTTGATTATACCCCCAGTAAAACCAGAGACAGGAAAAAATAGATACTGTAAAACAAGAACACAACCCCTAATACTGTAAGCACACAGACTTACAAACTAGAGTTGATCCAGTGACTTCAGTGGGACTACTGATAATTCACATGTTTAAAAATATGTATTATGCATGATAGCACTGTATGACAGAATTAGTCTCTGGTTTACACATTGTGTTGCATTTTTTAAATTGTGCCTCAAGAAATAAAAATAATAAAAGCAGAACAAAGGGAAATGGTACCCAAATGCCAAACTAAACACTGATCAGAGAATATGTAAAAATTACTTCTAAAATCCTTTAGCTAGGCTCATAAAAATAAATGCACAAAATTAAAAACTATAGTGCTTCAGTGGTTCTTTCTCCTGAAATAAATTTCACATTTTATTTTGACACTATCTTACAGTAAAAGTTTCTGGTTTCGGTTTTCTTTTCGCCTCTTTCTTTAGAGCTGGCACATTTATACTTTGTAGGAGCAATTCATTCTCCACTAGCTCCATTTCATTCAGAAATGCTGACTTTCAATTAAAGAAAGCAACTATACTTCTCAATATTTACCAAAGCGTATAAAAAAAAACACCATCCTGAAAGAAAAAGAGCAAAAAAAGTCATTATTTTCTCACTACTACTAAGCTCATCAACATTTACAGCGTAGTGATTCAACATAAAAATAATATAAAAATACAACTATTCATATGTTTAAAAAATAAGGATTATAAACTAGCTGAACGATAGATAATCGCTTCTAGATCTAAGCGTGTCAATGGAAGGAGTTTCAGCAGACGAGCCGCATCGAATGGTGGGGATGTCTATGTTACTGATTCCATCAATTTGCTGTCTATGAGAGCTGGCACGTTTTGCCTGTAGCAAAGTAAGAAGTACTAACGTGAACTGCTCCACCAGCAGAGCACTGGGGAAAGAAGAGCAAGTTGGACAGTCACCAACAGAAGCACAGAGACAAGTATCTGCCAGGTACTGTCCTTTTGAAATCTAACTACGTTAGTGAAAGAGGTTACCTACCTACTACCTCACTCAGTGGAACTTGACTGCTTGCTACATATGATATTGCTATCAACTTCTGACGTTCTTCTGGCGATATGGGGAAGTCATCAGAATGACTTTATGCAATGGTTCCCAAATTCTGCAGGCAGTGGGCTACTAACCTCAAACTTTCTCACGGATTATCAACTCGGACACACAGAGGTGACCATTTCACAGCCTTATCATAAGGATTTTGGGAAATTTGTTTCTGGAGAATGCGCAATTGTGAACCTGCCACAGAACAGTTGTTTCAAACGATGTAAGTAATGCAAGTTCAGGAATTTGTACAACGTCTAAAATCAGCTGAACTTCCTAGTTAGACCTGCTGAATACTTGCATTTCTTTCTCACTGAATTCAAAAGACTCTAGGGCACTCAACATTTAAGTCTAGCTGCTTCTAACCCAGGACCCCAAAGATGAATTTCATACTGGCTTTAAACATGTAGGTTTAGAGGCCCTCCCTATGGGTTTAAGAACAAGGTAACCCTTGCACTTCAGTGAAAGTATCTGAATTATTTTAAACTCCCCCCCCCCAACCGAGCATCTTCCTGCAGGCAGGGAAAATAGAAGGTTAGATTGCGAGGTGCCATTTACACATCAACGATACCCAAACTTCTTATACTGGGAATCGCTGTCAACCTTATAAATCGTATAGCAGACCACCAGTTCGATCACCTGAGAAAACACAACAACGCTAAGCTGCCCTAACGCTGCTACGACCAAAAAGACACGGCTCTTCGCGCTGATCCCGGCCCCGCCCGCAACGTCCCTCCTCTTCCCCCACAACTTCCCAAAGACCCCGCCACCCACCCAAACCCAAGCCGCGGCAGGATCAGGAAGGCGGCCCGGCGCAGGGGCAAGAAGCAGCCCACCTCCCCCGCAGCCCCACGCGCGCCTGCTGTCACATCTCCGCTCTACGACAACCCATTGCGCTGGAAACCTCCCAAGGCAACCAGAGGGAGCTATATCCGCGCCGCGCCGCGCCGCCTGCCT